CTGAAGTCCTTGAGTACAACTTCATATACTGTAGCATTAAGTATATCAAAACAATGTAAATCCATTTAAGAGAATGACAGCATTATAGAGTATTTAGAATCGACTAACAGAAAATGAACAATGGTCTCTGTATAATCTCCTTGTCTTTAAAAGGTTTTTTCTTATACTATCGTACATAACAAAATCCAATAAGATACAACCTGTTTAGACCATTGGAGACAGAAGAACAAAAGCTAGATGAGACTTCAAAACAAGATGGTACTAAATCAGCATTACCTATTAAGATGTCATTTTCTCCAAAAAAAAAGCTGTTCCTATCATCCAATCTTCTGTCTCATTTCTGTTGAGCTCTTTTTCTGTCAGTAGCTGTCAGTTTGTCTTCTTCATTTTGTTCTCTGCTCCATTCGTTGTGGCCTCCCCGCCCCTATTTCTGGGTTCTTTGTATTTTTCTTTTTTTAGAATATCCTGCAATACTTTCTGTAGGGTTGAATTGGTGGTTGCAAATTCCCCCAGTTCCTCTTTATCCTGGAAGCACCTCGTGTTTCCATCAATTTCCAGGGACAGTTGTGCAGGATATCTCAATCTTGGCTGTAGATTATTATCTTTCAAAGCTTGAATTATTTCTCCCCATGCTCTTCGTGATTTGATGGTTTGTGAAGAGAAATCTGCTGTAATTCTGATGGGTCTTCCCTTGTAAGTGATCTGTTTCTTGTCTCTTACAGCTTTTAATATTCTGTTCTTGTATTGAATTTCTGGAATTTTTATTATTATATGCCTGGGTGTTTCTCTGTTAGGGTTGTAGGTAGCTGGGGTCCTGTATGCCTCATAAATTTGAGTATCTTTACCTTTTGCTAAATTAGGAAAATTCTCCTGGATTATTTCTGTGAGTAGCTTTTGTAGTTCACTTGTTTGTGTCCCTACTTCTTCTTTTATGTTCTTAATCCTTAAGTTATGGCTCCTCTTATCATCTTCTTGTCTTTGTATTATTGCTGTGTGTTTCTTTGTTATTTTTAAGAAGTTTTTCATTTCATTCTCCCATGTTTCAAGTCTGCCCTCCAATTCAGATAGTCTTTCCTTAGTTTCTTTCAAGCTGTTATGCCAGTCTTGGGTAGACTTCTTAATTTCTTGATAGTCCCTTTGAACCTGCTTCACATACTCAATGCTTTCTCTGTTTTCTCCATCAAGCAATTCTCCCCTCTTTTTCTGTTCTTCCATTCCACCATCCGCTTTTTCCTGGGTGGTGCTTAGCATTTCTCTAACTATTCTGCATACTTCTAGCTTCAGGTCATTGATAACTTCATTCCTGAATTGGTCTATGAGGCTCTCTAAATGGCGCTTAATGTATAATGGTGCAGTGTCCACAATTGCCTGATTCTCAGGATTGGGGGTCGAGGAGCCTTTTTTGTTGCTTCCCTTCCCCATATTTTCTGTTCCTTATAAAATGTAATCTTACACAGGAGGCCCGGCTTCCCTGCCTGCCAGCCACAGCTTGATCAAATTGCGCTGGCTAGTTGTTCCCGCTCACCGCTGCGCCCCAGGGAGTTGCGGAGGAGGCAGCCTACGCGGGAGTCGGTCGCTCCTCCGGGCCACCGTCAGGCTCTGGGATCTGGGTTAGGCCAGCCTAGGGAGTCCGCGAGCAGTGTCCCTCCGGCCAGGCACCTTTCACCAATCCCATCCGAGAGGGAAATGTGCGCCTGCAGTTGCCACCGCGCCCTGCTCTTACAGGACTGCCCGCGCCCAGAAAAACCTCCGCTGGAGTCAAACTGCGGTAGGGAATCAGTTCCTCGCTCACCTCGCCACCAGTCAGCCTTCCTCCCTGGCCGTCGCGTTTCCGACTCCGTTCGCAGATTCCCGTTCCCAAGCCTCTGCGTGTCTCTCCTTGCCGAGCCGCTATGGAGGTAGCCGGGCGCCTGGCGGCGGGAAATCTAAACCACGGTTTCCGATGGCGTTGGGACTCCGTTCGGAGACTCCCGTTCCCAGAGCTCGGCGGTCGCGTCTCTCCTTGCTGAGCCGCTGTGGAGGTAGCCGGCCGCCGGGCGGTGGGAAATCCAAACCGCGGTTTCTAATGGCGCAGAGTCGAGCCTCCACACCGAGATTTTTCTGTTCCTATTTTAGCGCCAGGACTGTATTCCAAGTTGGATTCTCTCAGCCCAGTTTGTTCCTGAGTCAGCAGAGCATATCTCTACTGGTTCGTATCTCCTTAGTCCGCATCATTCCTGGCCTCTGAGCCGAGCCTTTAGAGAGCGTTCAGAAGTTGCTGTTGTCTGTCCGCCATGTTCTCCGTATATATTTTTTTAAAAGTGTAATATCAGATGATTTGTAGCATGAAAGAAATACAGCAAACTAATGCCTTTATTTTACTGACATTTTCTTTTTTAAAAAATTTACTTTCCTACTTTTATTTTAAACCATGCTAAATGGCATTCATCTTTAATGTCACCTCAAATCAATTTTCACACAAGACAAAGTAGGAAAGACAAGGACATGGGAGGAAAGGAAGCTGAGAAGAGAGAATGACTGCGGCAGAGGGGTTGAGGAAAGGCTTCCTGATGTTAACAGCACAGAGCCATGCTCAGAAGGCCAGTGGAGGTGACAGCTTGTGACAAGTCAGAAGGCAGAGGGCAAAACAGTTTCAGATGAAAGAACAAGTGTGAGAGAAGAACAGCAGATGGTAGTTTAATTGAAAGGTGTGGTTCAGAACTGGAAATGAAGGAACATGAAAAGAGATGTCCACCAATGTGTTCAAGCCTACTATAATAAGTTCTAAAAAAACTGAATCGCCATAGTGAGAAGTGTGTCATAATTAGCAAACAGCTAGACCTCATGCAACTTACTCCTAAGATACAGAAAATAAAGTTCAACTTACTACCTTCAACAGTAAAATTAACAATGATAAAGATGTAATGATAATATGTATTATAAACATGAGAATCAAAAGCATTTGGGACAAACACTGTAACAACCAAACCCGTTTCCATCTCCCATCCTTGCATCTTGTGTTGTGGCAAATTTTATGTCAAGAAATTATGTTTAATTTAACCCATATATTTGGAAAGAAAAGGATTGGTACTTGAACCTGACAAGTCCACTCACTGGATAAATGTTGATTTAATGGAACAATAATTTAAGGAACATTTTGTTGAGTTCATATGCTGTCACTTTGGATAATCACTTGAGGCCAACTGGATTATGAATATGAACCTGAATACAAGCACAGCAGGTGGTAATGTAGATAACACACAATATGCCCTCACTATAGAAATAATCATCATTTAATGTGAAAGCTCAAAACACTTTAATTCTCATGGAATAAGGTCCACCAAGAATATATTTGTGACTCTCAATATCTCCAAATAATTAGATATCTGATCCTAGGAAGAAAGCAATCATTTACAAATAGAACGGTCTAACAAGATATACTAGATAAATGTTGATATAGATCAAGTGATAAAATATAAGTGGATAATAAAAAGATGTAGATGCCAAAAAAGGCAAGTTATGTTGGAAGAAGAGCAACATGAAGTGAGCTGGTACAAACACCCTATGGAAGGGATTAAACTACAAGTTCCATGTAAAAAAAAAAACAAACACACACTAGATCTAGTCTAAGGACATTATAGTTTTGTTATTCTATAATTAAAACCCAACCAGTTTGCAGCACATAGTCATTGAGAAATGAGAAGGTTATTTTATTAATGTGCAGCAGAAATTATTCTGGTCATTGAATAAATTTCAGTTATAAACACTAGATAACACTATTAAGAATTGTTAAGGGTCATTGATGCTGAGCTTTTTGCACTGAGTACAAGAAAATAGGTTATCCTACCCTGTCTTACTAAAGATGCTGCCAGAAGATGACACATTCTTGGATCAGAAATAAAAGACTTTCTACATCAGGGACTGCAGGCAGCATGAGCTTCATACATTCATCTGATCTCTTGCCTCTCAAATTCCAAAGAACTGAGGTGGATAGGCCCAGGTGAGCATCAAACACACAGTGATACTATGCTCCAACTAAGGACTTCAACTCAGCAGACCCAGTCTTCTGCAGGGCTGCTAGCAAACCTAGTATTGTTCTTTGTTATCAGGAAGGGAAAGTAGGAGCACTGTAGTTATTATTATTTCCTACTGCCTTGGTAGAAGGCACAATCTCTACTTTTGATGCCTGTTTACTGCACAGATATCCTTGAAGATATAGTCTGAGCAAGTTATCAAAGAATTTTGCCCAGAGACAAGCAGAAATACAAAAGATTATTTAGGCTATTATTTATGCTACCATATATTCTTTATGTCATTATTTAATCAAGTAAGTTATTTTGATTACTAAAACAGTCAAAATGAAAAACATGAAGTGCAGCATATCCAAGTAAAGTAACTGTCTAGATTACCCACTAAACAAAGGTATCCATATGTATTTTGTTAAAAAGAAAAAAATATGATACAGAATAAACCAAATTTTTACCTTTAAGAAAATATGCATCTAAATTACAAGTCAAAGGTAAACAGCCTACATTCAACTTACGTGGTCAACAATCATTTTTCTTCATGCAAATAAGCACGCTAAAGACCACTTTTTTTTCTCTTGGTACATTGGAAGATTCCACCTCTTAAGATATATATATAACATATAATTTGGCATGAATTTGTTTTCCTGTGAAATGATTCACACAAAATTTTAAGGTCACAGAAAGGACATATTTGTATATAACAGAAACTTTTTAAGCTAAGAATATGTTTTTAAAATAGCCACTTAAAAATAATCAAATAAAAATGAATAAATAAATAAATAAAATAGCTAAATACAAAGAAGCAAAAATCTTGTTTATTAGTATACATTTGCAGTAAATATCGATTACATTTATCTAGAGAATTAGTATACATATATAATACATCTAAATTTTTTAATTCCCTTCAAGATATATAAACTGCTACATATTTAGAACATCTATTCTGAGTATTTACAACTGCAAACAAGAAATTAAAAAGTATATATGACATACCTCTCCCAGAGCCTCGTATCTTTTCTGGTTCCATCTGTGCAAATCTTCCCGGTAGTTAAAAACAAATGGTTCCCCAGTTTTTATGTGTCTTAACTGTCCCTCTAGAAAAAAATATTGTAAAGATTAAGAGTATATTTTAAATGATATAGAAACTACAATGAATAATAGCTGTTAAAAATTTAACTGTGTCAGCTTTTTTTCTCTAGATCTTTTCGTCTAATATCAATAAGATGCAAAAGTATACTAGAATAAAAGAATGGTATCTAAATACACAAAAGCTATTGTTCTTCATCACACTAATGTAAAGCAAACTGACAATATTTTAGGGCGTACTACATATGAGAATCTCCACCAAGTATTGTCATGAACATAGTCCCAGTTCTTGAGGAGTTTGGAACTTACCCAAAGAGTAAAAGCATAAATATTAAAAAGCTATGCAACTTTTCAGGAAATTAAACAAACCAGAAGGAACAGGTATTCACACAAAGTTTAGAATAATTTTGGACAAAGGAAGACTCCTATGCACTAGAAAGGTCAAATGGTTTCAATGAACTTTTTCAAGTAGGCATCAATACATGAGTAAGACATCAAAAGGAAATGAGAAAGAGGCAGTAAGCTAACACAGGCTGACTGTGAAACCAGACCCACTGAAATAGGCCCTTTCCACTGACGGATAGAACCCGTTGGCCTGGAGAAGTCAAGGTCTGTTATGTGAAGCTGACAGGTTACTGCACAAATGCTGGTGAGCATTTTGGTTAAGATATTTTGGCTCTATATGCCAAAGAATGAAAGTACTTCTGTGTTGATATTAGAGAAATATCCTTCATACATCAAAGACTGTTGTTTATCATGAGTAATACTGAACTAGTCAAGGAACTCTTATCATAGCAAATACTGATCTGTATTTACTAAGAGCTTTACTTAGCATATTTTGAGGAGAGAAAATGATCCATCTGTCATTTTCCCTTCCCCCAAAATATTCTCCTGACAATCAGGACAAAAACAGACCATAGGCAAATTGCTTTAACCTTTCCTCAGCCTCAGGCAACAAAATATTAGTACTTATACGTGCATAACACAATTTTTATAAAAAAATTAAAATATATTTAAAAAGAACAAAATTTCTATTATCTCTGTTTAAACTCATTTAACTTTCTAGTACACAGAGATCACAGCCCTGGCACCTTTAACTGATACTGTAAAGGGACATCCAAAATACAATGAGAGATCACCACTTCAGTTGATGTAGAACAGCAGCAACAAACAGAAAAAAACTACACCTCAGGGGCTACCTACCCACTAATAACATTACCCTTCAAGTATAACAGTGTATTATTAACCCAACGAATCATAATTCTTTGTTCCAGAAACATATCTGCAATTACAATACGTTCTTCCAGATGGCAAGTATAAAGATTGCTTTATTCAGAACTTAATGAATTTGAAGACAAGGTTATTGCCTGAAAAACGTGGAAAATTGAGTAATTTCTTTTAAAAAAAAACTGTCACAAATAATTGCCAGCCATTTCACTTTAAATAGCATGTGAAGTAGTAGCATCTTTCTATCTTTCTGTATCATTTAATTAGGAGTTCAGCTGTGTATCAGGTTACTGAATACTCAAGGTTGAAAGGCATAAACTCGATCAAATTCATGTCCATCAGTTTATGTGAGCTGACAACTACAGAAAATTGTTACTCGGTTCTCAGACTTCTGTGAAGGATTTCATCGCACAAAGTATTATTATTGGCCTTTAGAAGTAGCAAACAGTGTCTACCTTAGCATCCTTTTAACACTGGTAAACACATCTTGCATATAATACATGTCACTTACTTTCATTAAAAGCATATTCAAATCCTTCCAGGGTATCAGGAAAATCAAGAGGTGGTTCATCTTTTTTCATTAGTTCATCCAAGTCTATCCTAGATAACAAATCTAGAAAAAAATGAAATTTACTTATACTCATTTTCACAGTTAACAACAAAGTATATATCTTAAAATATTTTAAGTATTATTTTATTAGATTATCTTCACATTATTTTATTAAGTTCCCCAAATGCTGCACTATGATCAAGAACTGTATTAACATAAGTATCAAAATCCTAATTTTCAAAACTATCACAAATCAGTCTTTAAAGTCCTATAATATATTATTGCCTTCTTCCTTTCAAAATAAACAACTATTAACTGGTATCTTATTAACCTTATTTTATATTGTAAAATTCTCAGACATAAACATGACTTTTTGAAAATCATTAACTTTATATGCCAATGAAATTTTGTTTATTAATGACAGAACTTACAGATCCAAACAGTGATATTACATTACAATAGAGGTGAAGAAGAAAACAAAACATGCTAGCTGGAAGAAATTAGCTGACACAAAACAGTTTCTATTCTTCACATCATTTGATTCCACACAATCAAAAGAATCAACAAGTTTTTTCTTTAAAATAAGTAAAATTTCCAAATTTTATTTTGAAATAAGTTTAGAATTATGGATATGCCAAAAGACAGTACAGGGTGTCCACCCTTTACTCAGTTTCCCCCAATGTTAACATTTTATATCACCATGGTATGTTTGTCAATAGGAAGAAAGCAGCCTTGGTGAATCACTTCCAACTTAAGTGAAGAGCAGCCATTACTCACACTTCCCCTTCCTCTACTCTACTGTCCATTTTCTGTTCCAGTGTTCCACTCACATTACCATACTGCATGTAGATATCATTTCTCCTCTGTGACAGAGAGTTCTCATACTTTCCTTCTTTGCCATGACCTTCACAGTTCTAAGGAATACTGGTTAGGTAGTTTTAGCATGACCCTCAACTTGGCAGTTTCTGTTATTTTCTCATGGATGCTTTTTCTTTCTCTAGTCTTAGATTTATAAGTTTGTTTTTTTTTTTTTAAAGCTGAGGTGAACTGCAATTAGAACATCATGTCAAGAGGTATGTGATACACACAGAACACATGAACCATTGTCATTTAGTTGACATAGTATTGCCCAGGCTTCTCCATTACCATTTCCATTTCCAGTCTTTAAAAGTGACAAAGTCTGGTCCACTCTCAAGAAAAGAGGGGTGGAATTAGACTTTGCTTTCTGAAGTACGGAACATTTACATATTTTATTTGTAATTCTTTTGCATGGAACACTTGTTTTGTTCCATTTACACAATTACTGATTTATTTATAATGAGTATAAATTCATAAATATGTAACATTTTAAGTAACAATCAAATATTTCTTTTTTACTTTAAAGAAAAAGCAATGGTACAAAATTTCAATGTAAGATTGTAGGAGAATAACAACACTGCATATTGTTATCTTCTCAAATATTACTTTATTTTGTTTCGCAAATTCCTCCTGTCATGACCATTATAGGCTCATTCAGTTATTTTCTGTGTCTCCTTTGACATAATCTTATCTCTAGATTCATCTTGTATCTTCCCCACTCCAGACCCAGAATCAAGTATTTGATCTCATTCAGGATCATATTAGGAAGAGACACTGTGTACTATCACAGAACCATTTCCAAGATGAAAAACTGAAGTTCAAAGGTGTTCAATTATAAAATGTGTGCAATTATTTTTGTCAAATCAAGAAAAGGTAAAACTCTTAGTTTCTGCATTTTAACTCGAGTTCCTGAGGGCAAAAGCTTCTAGAATTTATTAAAAGACAAACCAGTCCCTTTTATATCAAAAAAGTATCACAAAAGTAACAATATATTTGTCTCTCACTTACAAACATGTAACAAATCCATCTGTATTGTACATCACCAAAAATGCTACATAAAAAGGTATTTTTCTACCTCTTTATAGAGCACAAAGGTAAGTCACCTAAAATTTCATTTTAAAAAGCATTGTTTAGTAGTTTTCAAATACCTAACTAACTAAACATCAGCTTACAAAAACATATGCCATTTTCAACATAAAAAATGCTTACAAACTCTAGTATAACAGAAATGTCACACAATAGTCACAATGTTTTTTTAAATTTTAGTTTAAAGAGAATAAAACCAGACAAAATAAAACAGAATAAAATCAATCAAAACAAAACAATGAAAGTGATACAGAACTTCAAGATAGTAAGAAATCAACAATGGCTACCATGATATATCTTATCTTCAAAATAGCTGCCCATATATCAGACATAATAAAATCAAACAAAACAGAATAAAACCAAATCAAACCAAACAATGAAAATGATACAGGTCTTCAAAACAAGATAATAGGAAATCATTGATAGTTACTATAATGCCTCTTGTTATTTTCAACAAAAGTTTCTGATTTCCAGAAACATCAAATACAGGCATGTGAAATTAGCCAAACAATATAAGAACTAAGTTTTTTCTTTATTTCAGTTGTTATCTTTTCAGAAATTTCTACTATGTCTATGTCTCCTAGATTTTTTCTGTGTGGACTAGGGGCCTGAGATTGTATTTTGCTCCTTCGTCTTCACATTTTCCTGGGTTCCTCCAAATCAGTGCATTGCTGCATCCCAGGTGCTTCCTGCATGGGCTGCCAGTCCCTCAGTGTAGTAGACTGGACTAGGCACCAGGGTTCCTCTGATCCTGGGTTCCTGGAGTGGAGTGCTTCATTGCCTCGGGGCACAGTTTCTTCTCTGGGCTGGCATGGGGCTTGCTGGATCTCTCCTGGCCATAAGCACATAACCGCCACACTGGGTTTTAAAAGGAACTTATGCTGACAGTTCCTCATCCACTAGTACAGGTCTCAAAACCAGGTAAATATTTTCAAAATAAAGACAGAAATGTAAAATTTGGCTTGGAATGCCTAAAAGATTCTCACTGGCCTCCTTCCAATGAACTGATGTTCTGGGGCAAAACTAGATCCCTTCACTCCACAGTTGAATCAGACACACAGAAACTCTCCAATACATGAGCAGATGTGTTGTATCTAATAAGCATTTTCTGTTTCTATCAGCTTAGACCAAGAAATGCAGCATTTCATTTACGTATCTCTTTAAAGATTTCAATGCATTTACATTGTTTCATCACTTGATCATCACAACCCTATGAAATAATAAGAATTATCATACACTGTCATTCAGACAAGGAAATGAACTCAAGAGACATAAGATGGCTTGTCTGAAATTACAGCTTGCCATTAAGTAGGTTCAATAAAATATATTTCCTAAAACCTAACCTATATGTCCTTCAGTCACATACCAATTTTACATGCTCTATAATATATATATATATAATACCTTATAATATTGTCTCTCATTATAAAAAGTAAACAATTATAATTTCCAAGTGTTCTTTCTTTGCTCAAAATATTTCTCGGCATGATAAAATGAATAAAAAGATATTCCTCAAATCTCTGTCAGCCAGAGAACCTCACACAGATATTTTTTTCATTGGCATTCAGAAGACATATAGAAAGGAACTATAAAAAAAATTACTTCTCTTATTTTAGAAAAGGAATACTGTAAAGTTGCATTTTACTCTGAAACTGGGTTCCAAAATCAATGGATTATTCAAGCAGCAAGTATAATGAACGATTTCCATTGAAGATTCCTTCAGCCCTCTAAAATATATAGTAGACTTGAATCCACATAACCTAAATACAGTACTCATCAAAAGTGACATTTTTTCACTAAAATATGGTTCTGATAATTAAAATGAGCCGCCAACTAGAATTATAAATCTCAACCACACACAATTAAGTACATACAAATATTCTTCCATACTCAAAAGAACTGAGTAAGACTTAAAGAAATATTTTTAAAATAGTATTCAGAATAGAATTATTTACAATTGTCAAAAGGTAGAAGCAACCAACTATATATCAATAGACGAATGGTGTAATACTTAAGTCCACAAGGCCTTTCCTGGGTTACACAATTAAACTAACTGGGGAAAGCATAACCTTTTCCAGTGTGCACAGCCTTACCCAGTCAAATGAAGGCCTGAATCGAACAAAAATGCTGAGTGCAGCAGAATTCATTCCCTGCCTGCCTTTGAGTGGGTCACTCATTTTCTCCAGTGTTGAGGCGAGCTCTGGAATTAATGACACTGGCTGTCTTCAGGCTTTTGGACTTGGACTGGATCCGCCATCCACCAGACAAGGTCTGAGGAGGTTCCTAAAGCTGTTACAAAGAACTTAACCTAGCTACCCATGGATAGGTCTACAAGTTCAGGGACTCCCATCTTGGAAAAAGAATAGTAGGATTAGTCAGCAAAAGACAGATATTTAAGCACACACTCAAAGAAAACAAAGGAGTGGCCTTTAAGAGAGAATGGGGTATTATTTCCTAGAATGGGAACATCTATGCTTCTCTTACAGGGCTGCAAACCGCAGAAAACGGAGGCCCAACCCTAGAAGGGTTCTAACTCATTTAAAGGTATCGGCCCAGTTTAACTTTTTTCTAAGACATGTAATGTAGACATTTCTTGGATTTGCTAAATCTTTTCCTTTATCTTAGGATCAGGTTTCTGCTCTTCTTTCTCAATTACACCACCTAATGGACTTCAGGTGTTCCTGAGGAACCTTGGATGTGACGGATCTTGAAGAAAAGGAGCCTAAATTTAACCAAGCCATGGCTTATATGGGTCATCTTAGGTGACCTTGCCTATGTCTCAGAAGTTACAGTCTTACTAAAAGTACAATTTTTAGTTATGATTTCCTCATCTCTTTTCTGCCTATCTATTATTTTTTCTATCCTACTTCAGAACTATTACTGTCAGCTTTCATGGTTCTTCAGCTTGCTGACAACAGACCTTGGGATGTTTCAGCACTGATTATCACATAAGCCATTTTTTTATAATGACCTCTCCATATATACATAGGCATAATTAGTTCTGTTTCACTGAAGAATCTTGGCTTACATCAATGGAAGAACAAAATATGGCATATATACCCAATGAAATATTGTTCCTCTTTTAAAAGGAAGAGCATTCTGATGCTACATGGATTTAC